AGACGTGTGCTCTTCCGATCTCTGTGCTCACAATAAAGTTTAGTTAGAGCCGTTTAATTTGATATTATATTTATTAGGTCTATCTCTATTAATTTACAAGATAAAAAGGGGTGGCCACTTATACGAGGACACCCTGTATATGTATATATATATACATATATATGATGAATATTACCGAACATGTTTGTACATGTGCGTATGTGCGCGTGTAAACTCTATATTCTTTCGGTCCTTTCGACACCACGAAAGCAAAAGCAAATTGGAACCGATGTGGTTTATCGCTCGCTGATGAATTATGCAAAATTCATATCTTGAAGTACAAATTTAAGCGATTGCGTTAAATCACACATCCGAATCATGACCATGGACGTGATAGATCGGGAAGCGTTAATATCTTATTGCCCCTCTCCTTCCCCGAAACGTTCGGCGTGATGCTGACTGGTGTGTACATTTCTGCTATTTCATCTAATTGATGTACATACCCGCTCTTGCATTGAAGATCGGTATAGAGATTGCAATGGGGACGTGTTTCGGGTTGTGGATCGGGATGGGAATCGGGACCAGGATAAGGACCGTGACGGTAATCGAGATCCGGATGGAGGTCGGGATGAGAATGGGGATGGAAATCGAGTCGAGGGTCGGGAGAGGCGTCGAGATCTGGACGCGGATCGGGACAACCGAGGCAATGGCGACATTTGAAAATAATTCTTGGCGTTCGTTATAGTTTCCTCAGACATCTCCGATTTTGCGTTTAATTGAGTCGATCATCTAATACTCTTGGGCCTCGAAAGATTGGTGATACGTATCTCCTGATCTGTGTAAAAAATTGAGATTCTTGTGAAAAAGTATTTTAACTTAGACGCGCTATATTGCGCCTGTACGGCGAGAAATCTTTCTCTTACCTTTCGATTCAACAACACTCTTTTGCAATAAAGGCTGATGGAACCTATTTTTTAGTGCAGAAAACGACATCTCTTCAAAAGGTCTCTCGTTGACCTCATTAGATTTGTTACCGGGATACTTAAGATTGAGTTAAATCCATGATTTATTTTCTCTGTCATATTATAGGTTTTCTGTAATAATCCGGAGATTCCATAATAATCCGAATCAGTAACATCATCCGTCGTAGTTTTCTCGGATACCTCTGATTCTGTGTTTAACTTGGTCGGTGTGTAACTATATCATCTTGTATGACGTGGCTTCGTACGACGATACAATACAAGAGCAGTAAGTGTACGATCTAAAGGAATGATAAATCGGTTTTTATGACTGTTTCATAAGACCGATTTTATTGTCGACTAATACCACCGGCATTTCACTTTTACGCCAATAAGGCGTAAAGGCTTTCCGAGGACTCGCGAGTCGTGAATTAATTATGATACCAGAACATCATATATATGTATAGTATGTATATATACATATATATATAAAACAGAATAACACACATATATATAATAAATGTGACCAAACATATGTGCATATGTGCGTATGTGCGCGTATAGAGTCTTTTCTTTCCATTCTTTCGACACCACGAATGCGAAAGCAGGCCGGAATCGACGCGGTTCACCGATCGGTGATGGACCGTGCGGGATTCGCATCCTAAAGTGCAAACTTACGCGATCGCATAAAATCACGTTCGAACCATGACCATGAGCATGATGCGTCGGAAAGCGTTAATTTTTTAATGGTCCTTCCCCCTTTCTCCTGAGGCGTTTTAGAGCGAAAAAGTCTAGACATCCGCGACTCGCACACTCATTCATTCGCTGCGTACATCGATTGCAGAACGGTGACAATGAGGCCTGCCTTATATAACCAAAATATGGTGATGGGAGGAGAGGGAGGGAGTGGAAAGAATACAGGAGAAGTATATTCGTTGGATCTTGGGACTGGACTGTAGAACGCCGGGGTATATGTTAAGAGAAGCAGTCAAATGGGGAAAGATGAGGACTATGGCAGGAAGAAGAGCGACGAAGTACGAGGAAAAATTAAGGCAGGGTAAAGGGAGTGAATTTTTGTCATGCATTCTCTTACCAATTGGTAAGAGAATGCATGACAGAAATACGGAGAGCGAAAAAGGAGGAGAGATCGAGGTGGGAAGAGGGACGCAGAAGATTCTTTGAGGAAAGAGGATATGCAATAAAAGAAATAGAAAGAAGGAGGGACTGAGGAACAGAAATGATGGGAGAGTTAGAAGAAAGAGGCAGTACAAAGACGGAGAGAGACGAAAGAATAAAGGAATCTAGATATAACAAATTTTATAAAGAGATCCAGATAGAAGGGCTGCCCAGATATTTAAGAGAGAAAGAAAGTGAGGTAAAAGTGATAAGAATTGCAAGATTTAGATGGGAAATGAGATGAGAGAGGGGAGATACTGGGAAAAGAAAGAGGAAAGTGCGTGCAGAGGATGCGGAAGGAAGCTGGAGACATGGGGACACGTGATCGAAAGGTGTGAAAGACGAAGAGAAATGGGGGTGGAGAGGAGAAGAGTAACAGACAACTTTGTGAGATGAGGCAGGTATTGAGGAGAAGAAAGGAATAGAAAATGGGGCGGAGAGGAGGAAGCGAGGAGAAGTCAGTAGAGGGAGCGGAGGGAAGCAATTAGGTCAAAAGAAAGAGACAGGATGAAGTAAAGAAGTTGTAGTTAATGCAAATGTAAAAAAAAAATGTAGAAGTTCTTGTAATACCGAAAAGGATACAATAACGAATATACACACATTATATAATCAAGATACCTTCCTCCGATTACTTTGTAACTACCGGCAGAATTGTATGAATGGTCCTCCCTCGAAACCGGAAGCCGCGCGGAAGGTCGCGATCGATTTTTTTTCGGCATTGAAAGGAGATGTTTCACGGTTTATCTTGTCTTGCATTAGTGCAGTGAATCGAAGGTCTCTTTAGTCGGAATTTAATCGAAGAAGAGGAATTCTATTCACGCTCTCTGTAAACGGATAGCTGCATCCATTTCGATTACGAATGCGCGATTACGTTACGCGAGTGCGCGAGCGAATTCGCAAAGAGCAGTGGTAAAAGCGTCAGCTACGACGTCCACGTCTAGATCTCGAGGTCTATTCCGCCCGTGAGCGTCGTAAGACCTCAGAACTGTAACAAAGTACAATTACCCGCGAACGCTACCAGTGGCAACTATTAATCGTTTGGCCCTCCGGTCCGGCGGGATCTACTAATTACGCTACGTCATTAGCATAGAAATGCGTGCTCAAGGAGAAAATAACGCTGACGATATTCACGCCGAGTTACATTCACGTATATAACTCCACGTCTCTATTCCACGACGGTTCCTATTGTGTGGGAGCGTTTGATCGGAATCGACTTTCACGATTCGCAAACCGCGGTCTGTCGCAACAAGTGGAAGAGTATGCGACGGATGGAGTATAGTCACCGTATAAAATCATAATATTTCCTCACGTTTTAGACGAAAGATTACACACCTTTATCTGTTCAGCGAACATGTTTTCCAATATTTCCGATATAGCGTTGCCTGACGATGTATAGCCCTCGGGGTCATCTGCCAACTGACTCGTCGTTTTAAGACGTTTTGCTTACCTACAAGAAAACAAACACCCCGCATCATCCCACTTCGGATATGTCCTTTGGATATATTCTAGTATAGATTAAAACAATGTTTTTCATCAGGCTCTTATGCCCGTTAAAGCTGAAGCATCTTGAAAAGTATCAAAAAATAAATGCATATTAAAACGGTATAAAATATGAACAAATTTAAACAGTTATTTTATGGTTTTAAAGCAAAAAACATTTTTATATTCAGTTTTTCTGCAAAAACTGTTTTATTAAACAATAATTATAATTTAAATAAGTATCAGGAAAGACCGTGTAATGTTAACAATTGAAATCTTAAAACGCCAACGACGGTACAAAGCGGATCTTGGTGTTTCCATATAATATTTAAATTATAATTTGAGTATTTTTAATGGTCATGGCTGGATCTTGGTGCCTAATAATTTTTATAGGAATTTCTTAACTCCATTATACAGCTATTTTAAACTGCGCGTCGAATAAATGTACGGACTTGTAATGCATTCATCAGCTGAGGCAGGAATAAAAATGTCACATTGATATTCAATTTTTTAAAAATTCTTAATAAAATCCTTTTGCAATACTTAAGATGCTTATAATCATCGATTTATTAAAAATTGAAGATCAGTGTGATATCTTTATTTCTGCTTTAGCTGATGATTGCGTTACAAGTCCGAAAATTTCTTCAGTGCGTAGTTTAAAACAGCTGAATAATGGAGTTAATAAATTCATATAGAAATTATTAGGCAACAAGATCCCGCCGTGACCGTTGAAGGCGCTCTCGAATTTAGTTTTATTAAATTTTTTTAAAGTGCTTCATTACCATAATGTACTATTTAATATTCTTTTTCAGAACATTAACAATCTTTTTATATGTAATTGAATTCATTATTAAATAATCTTCGATTTTTTGCAAAATAATTTTCTGTTACTTTCGTCGGTATTGCAAATCCATCGCATCGAGCTATCATGAAATTTCTTCTGCTCGAATAGATCCGTCTTTGCGATAAACAATATAGATGATATATAAATCAGAGTCGTCGATCAAATTAGGCTGTGTTCCAACGGTTAACGTTTGCCATGCCCGCGAACATTATTTATCCTTGTTTAACATTTGATAATTAAACAACAAAGATAAAATGATTTCAAGAGCGTTAAGAGTTTAGTGGAACGCAGCCTAATTCTGTTCATGTTACAAGTATGTAACATGTAAATATAAATATATGTTAGAGGATATAAACATTTTAGCTATTCGGCTTGTCATTGCTACGTCATTGTCTATGTCATTATCGAAGTTGAGTATATAAGTCTATTCAAAAATAGCAATATCTCTAGAACACGACGAACCTAACAGAGTATATTCTATACATAAAGTATGGATAGTTCTTCCTCCGTTACAAATCGGGACCGATTAAAACCGATTTTGCGCGTGAAACAAGAAAAAGTGCAAAGAACCCTTGAAACAAATGTCCTTAGTTCTCACAGTTATTATTCTTTCAAAGGCATTCCTTTTGCTGCTCCACCAGTAGGCCCATTGAGGTTTAAGGTAACTTATTTATCGAGCCTAAATAATTTTTAATTCATTTCTATTTATTGTATCTCTGTTTAAAACTATTTTACAATAATTACATTTATTTTGACGCATTACAATTATTTTTGTACATCATGAAAGCAATAATAAATAGCCTAATTTTAATTATTTTATGGCTGTTGCAAAATGTTATTTTATTTGATATTAAATCATATTTTACTGTTGTTTTAAAAATTAGGATCCCGCACCTCCTGCTTCCTGGGAAGGTGTTCGAGACGCTTCCAAATGTGGCAAAGTTAGTGCACAGTTGTATCCGTCAATACAGGCATTGCAACCATCACTTACGTCAATGGTTATCGGTAGCGAAGACTGTCTTTATCTTAATATTTATATACCGTGCAATATTTATTCATAAAAATGAAATCCATTTATGATTTTAATTCACGGTGGAGGTTATATTTTTGGTACCAGCAACGATACTTAGGACCGACCTGATTACCTTATGACAAAAGATATGTCATTTTAGTGACTATAAGCTATAGATTTGGTGCTTTGGGTAAGATTTGTGCTTTCAAGAAAACGTATCTCTTGAAGTTGCTCGAAAAATTCTTTTATCACATATTTGCGTAAGATATAGAGCTGAATACGTACATACGTCTATCGTTTACTGATATACATTTAAAATTTTTTAAGGTTTCTTTAATCTTCATCACGAAGTAGCAAACGGAAACCAAGGTTGAAGGATCAAGTTGCCACATTAAAATGGATTAAGGAATACATCGAAGTTTTTCGCGGAGATCCAAACAATATCATTGTTTTTGATGTAAATGCAGATAGCACTAGCACGCAAATCTCTTAATGTTGTCACCGTTATCTAAAGGTACGTAATATATATGTTTAATAAGCAGTAACGATGAAATAAAAATAATTCTGTTTAAAAATAAAATATTAATTTCTCTTTCTCTATCTCTTTCTTTCTTTTTTACATACACACACATGCGCGTATTATAATTTTTGCCCCTACATTAGGCTCAATACCTTCTCTCGTTAGAGCGAGCTCCCTCGGGCCTCTATACTTTTATTTTACTTGAAAATAATATTATACGTTCTACTTCAATTTGTATATTATTAAATATGTATGTCAGAATATATCTTTATTTGTTCCAAAATGCGAAAGCTTTTTGTATTCTCTCGTTGTGCGACTTTCCTATGCTTATAGCGACAGGATGCGCACGCTGTGCCATCGAAGTTTGTGAATTGTCCGAATTTGATCTTTCACTTTCCCTCTCAAACAGCCTTGCCGTACGATTTACGTGTTTCTGATTGGAAGAAATTTATCTGCACAATTATGTTTGCTCAATATGTATTCTTAAGTGTTTGTATTTTCGTCAATAATTGTGAAATTATAAGATTTATACTAATGCCATTTTATTTTTAATTTATGATAAATAATTATAAGTAGTATAGAAGCAAATTTTTAATCACATTTACACCTTTCCGCACAGGATTAGTTTTACACGAAGCTTCAGCTACGTCATTCTTTGTGACTATCTAATTAATTGTAACCGTCCGTGATAAGATTTTACACAGTGTAAACGTTTTAACTGCTAAATATATATTTAGTAATGCATTACATAATTCAATCAATGCATTAATTAAACGCACGGCATAAGACAACCGGAAAAAATCTGAGAATCAGAAGAAGCATAAACAGTACCATGGAAACATAAAGAACTAAATTAACAGCATACATATTTGCAGCATACTTCCTTTATTCATAGTATCATAACGATTAT